CCATCATCGCCGCCACATCGGAAACACCGGCACTTGCGCCTGTTCGCGCAGCCATCTCGTAGCTTACATCCACGCGTCGGTGATCCTTGCAGCTTCGTCGAGCTCCTCTTCTCGAAGCAAGTCGCGCACAATCCCATGTCCTGGCACAAGGCTCGGCCACCACACAAGCATACGACACCTTCTATCTCAAGCGAGAACAGTACGCGAAAGAGCACGGCACCAGGTGCTCTCCCATCTATCACACCCACACTGCCAACGACGCAGCACGTCGCAAGCCTCGCATCGCCAACATGAAGGAGGCACGCGTCGTCATTATGGGAGGTACGTCTTCATCCAACGCTTGACTTGGTCCAAGCTACTCTGTGCCGAAGAAAGCTAATATCGTCTCCTCTCCCTGGTTCCGTGGTCGCAGGCGGAGGAGTCGGCAAGTCGGCGCTGACCGTGCAGTTCGTGCGCAACGTGTTCGTGAGCACGTATGACCCGACGATCGAGGACACATACCGCAAGATGCTCGTCATCGATGGCCAGCAGTGCATGGTCGAGATCCTGGATACGGCAGGCACCGAGCAGTTTCTGGCGCTCAAGGAGCTCTACATCAAGTCCGGACAGGGCTTCATCCTCGTCTTCTCGCTCACGTCGTTAGCCAGCGTCAACGAGCTCGGCCCCCTGCGCGAGGCGATCGTACGCATCAAGGACACCACCGCCATACCGCTCGTGCTGGTCGGCAACAAGTCGGATCTGCGCGCCGATCGTCAGGTGCCTAGAGAGGTCGGCACCAGTCTTTCGAAAGCATGGGGCAACGTCCCCTTCTACGAGGCGTCGGCGCGCAAACGCATCAATGTCGACGAGATCTTCGCCGACGTCGTGCGCCAGATCCGCGCTTTCCAGACCATCAATTCCAGACCAGGCACCCGACCGGGCACCTCCTCGGGCGCCTCGGGCAAGCACGGCTTTGGCGCCAACGGCTCTTCCTCCCATTCCGGCTCCAAGGACTCCAGACTCGCAGGCAGCAGCTTTGGCACCTCGTCGAAAGCGCGCGATCGCAAAAAGTGCGTCATCATGTAGCATTTGTGCGATAAGGCTCGTCTCTCGACAGATGCTGCGGCGCGGACGAGCAACCCTTGGATACCCCCGCTCCGTGTAGCGAGCTGGAAGGAACTCGATAGATATACCCCATTCTCGCGGACCCTTTCGTTCCGTAGCGGCGGCTCGGCTGGCAAGTGGACGCCGATGCACGCCTTGCTCGTGCGCAATGAACACGCATTACCGCGCATTCCCGGGCATTCCTGTTCCGACTTCCAATCTGTGCTGTGCATGTGGCCGCGGCTTTGAGGCCCAAGCTGAGGATGCTGAACAGGATAGCGAAGCTGCAACCTTGAAGCCCTTTTTGTTCCTCCGGCAGGGGCGTGCGCCTCCACTATGCGGCTGCAGGTCCAAACTCCGGATTTCGGCCAACGCGTGCGGGTGCCGAGTGGAGCAAAGCCGCGCATGCAGCCCCAATTCACACAATTGCGGAATTTGGACAAGGCAGCCCAGCAGTGCAGCAGGACAACGCGTCAATCGGGGCAGGAGTGATCGAGGCGCACACGGCCACAGTGTGCGAAATGCACAGACGTTGACGAAGCTTCGGCCCACACCAACACTCCCTACTCCACACCCCAACGCATCATCCCTTGTCGGACCCTCGCACTTCTCCCTTCGCCATCGCCATCGCCATCGCAGAATCAGAACGGACGACGAATACCCGGTGGCACACATACGACCAAGCTATCCCACCAGCCGCACGAGCAAAGACAACGCCCTCATCCCACTCCACACCCCGGTCTAGATAGAAAGGTGGCATCATGTCGCGAAGGTACGATTCGCGCACGACGACCTTCTCGCCCGAGGGTCGTCTGTACCAGGTGGAATATGCGATGGAGGCCATCTCGCACGCAGGTACGGTGATCGGCATCCTCGCCAAGGATGGCATCGTGCTTGCCGCCGAGAAGAAGGTGACGTCCAAGCTGCTCGAGCAGGACCAGTCGTCAGAGAAGATCTTCACCGTGTCGGACAACGTCATGGCTGGTGTGGCGGGCTACACGGCCGACGCCAACTCGCTCGTCAACTATGCGCGCAATGCGGCTCAGCAGCACCTGGCGAGCTACGACGACGACATGCCCGTCGAGCAGCTCGCACAGCGTCTGTGCGACTACAAGCAGGGCTACACGCAATTTGGTGGTCTGCGTCCATTCGGTGTGTCGATCTTGTACGCCGGATATGACGACCACCACCACTTCCAGCTCTACCACTCGGATCCCTCGGGCAACTACTCTGGCTGGAAGGCCACGTGCATCGGCAACAACAACGGCACGGCAACCTCGCTGCTCAAGCAGGACTACAAGGACGACATTGGCATCCAGGATGCTATGGCCATGGCGGTCAAGATCCTGAGCAAGACCATGGACTCGACGTCGCTCGACAGCGAAAAGCTCGAGTTTGCCACGCTCACGCTCAACCCCACCACGCACAAGCCGCAGACCAACATCTTCAAGCCCAACGACATTGACCGCCTCCTCCAGAAGCACGGCCTCGCAAAGCCAAAGGACGCAGAGGAAGCGGCTGCACAGGCCACAGCGAGCGGGGCAGACTCGAGCGCCATGGCCGTCGATGCATAGTCCAACACTCGCCTTGTACCATTAAATTGAGACTAGCTTGTCGATCGACTCGTGGCGTGTGTTGTGACTGCTTGCAAAGATGTCGTTTGTGATTGAAACAACGGCAAACGATGAGACTACTGAGACTTGCCGCCGTCATTGCCGTCCTTGTTGCCGCCAAAGATGTCTTTTTGGCTGTTCATGATGGCCTGCAGACGTTCAGGCGACACGTCAACACCTGCATTCTTGAGCTCCTCCATCACTGCGCAAGCACGAACAAAAAGGCAAGGATGTTCAGTATTTCTTCTCCGCCATAAGGGATCGGAGCGCCAGACCTCAAATGTGGGAGAAAGCCTACCTTTAGTAGTAGCGTCACGCACCTCCTGGTTGCGCGCGAGCTTCATCATTTGCCACATGCTCGGCTTCTCACCGGTATGCAGGTCGACACCGTTAGCCTTCATGACCTCGACGAGGTTTGTGATGGCCGAGAGTGCCGAGGGCGAATGCGCGAGCTTCTCAAAGCCGGGTGGCAGCTGCGGGAAAGAGTTGGGCGAGGCGGACGAGGCCCATCGTCGAGCAGCGACGGGAGAGCGCAGCGCCAAGGATCGTGCGACAGGAGCCGATCGGAGCGAGACTGTGAGCGTTCGTGCGACTGCGCGATATGCCGACATCTTGGACGATCTGTGTATGTGTGATTGGAAAGGGGCGTCCAACTGTGATGAAACGGAGAGGAGGGTGGTGCGAGGATGAGTTGAGTTCAAAATGGTCGGCGGCCTCCACCTCGAGAATCACTCTCCGACTTCCGAGCTGACAGATGCTTTTTTCGAAGCTCCACAAACGGAACCCTGACATGACTTCAACCACGAACAACCCAGGCTCGTTCCATCAGGAAACGCACAGACGCTGGCCAGCGAGGGCAGGGAAAGAGAGATGTCGCTGTCTCTGCGTACGCTCTGCCGTCGCGGCCCGCGCGAGGTATTTGGCCTGCCGTGCCAACCGAGGCCGCTCGTCCACCCACTGCGCTGTGCCCCTTCATGCGAAAGGCTAGCTCCCAGACACTTCACCTCAACAATCAACGCACGCTCAGCACCCGACACCGCACCTTCAGGCTCGAGACTTAAGCCGTACTACGTGACAACACCTATCTTCTACGTCAACGCAGATCCACACATAGGACATCTGTATTCGGACGTGATTGCCGATGTTCTCGCACGCTACCATGGATACATGAACTCGGGCTACTCGGCTTACGATCGAAACGGACGCACTGTCAGCGCAGACACAGAGGCACTGCAAGCCGATATCGCCCAGCGATCACCGGTGTCGCCAATATTCAGCACGGGAACGGACGAACATGGACTGAAAGTGCAAAAGGTAGCCGAGGCGGCCGGCGAAGACCCAAGGGCCCTTTGCGATCGCATCAGCCAGCGCTTCCGCCACCTTGCAGATGCAGCCAACGTGGACTTTTCCACGTTCATCCGCACCACAGATGCGGACCATGCAGTGGCGGTGGAGCATCTGTGGCGCACGCTGCGGGAACGCGGCCACATCTACCAGGGCAGCCACGAGGGGTGGTACGCGGTGTCGGACGAGGCGTTCTATCCGGAGACGCAGGTGCGCAAGGTGGTTGTCGACGGCCAAGAGCAGATGCAGAGCATCGAGACCGGCGCCAAGGTCGAATGGAGCCAGGAGGTCAACTACAAGTTCCGCCTCTCGGCGTTTCAGCAGCCGCTCATCGATTGGCTCCGTGCGAACCCGACCGCCATCCAGCCTGCGCAACGGCACGCGCAGGTTTTGCAGGAGATCGAGTCTGGCTTGGCGGATCTGTCGATCTCACGACCACGCTCGCGTCTCTCATGGGGTATCCCTGTACCCGATGACGCGGACCACACGATCTACGTGTGGGTCGACGCACTCACAAACTACCTCACCGTCACGGGCTATCCAGCCTGGGCGAATGACGCGAGCAAGGAGGCATCGCTTGTGGAACGCAGTGCGTGGCCTGCCGATGTGCACGTGGTGGGCAAGGACATCCTGCGCTTCCATGCGATCTACTGGCCCGCGATGCTACTCGCTGCCGGGCTGCCGTTGCCAAAGACGATCGTGGCGCATTCGCATTGGACCATGAACCGTGCCAAGATGTCCAAGTCGCGCGGCAACGTCGCCAATCCGTTCGAGGCCATCGACATGTTTGGCGTCGACACGCTGCGCTTCTTCCTCATGCGCGTCGGCGGCAACCTCGGCGCGGACTCGGACTACAATCCTGCCGTGCTCGTCGAGTACCACCGCAAGTATCTGCAGGGCCAGCTTGGAAACCTCGTCTCGCGCATCTCGGCGCCCAAGATTCATGCCGGTCTCGCCGAGTCTCCGCGCGACGAGGAGGGCGTGCTGCTCCGGCCCTCGGCGGAAGATGTGCGCGCGGTGCTCGATGAGGAGACGTACGCGCTGTGCGAGCGGCTCGAGGAGGAGATCAAGCAGCTGCCCGGCAAGGTCGACGAGCTCATGCAGTCATTTGAGCTGGCCAAGGTACTCGAGCTTATATTGGAGACCGCTGTAGCCAGAGCCAACGAGATGGTGCAGCGCATCGAGCCGTGGAACGCCGCCACCCCCGCCGCTGCCGTGAGAGAGGCCATCATTCTCACCACCGAGACCCTCCGCATCGCTGCGCTGCTCCTGCACCCGTTCATGCCCACCAAGATGACTCAGCTGCTCGATGCGCTCCTCATCCCACACAACCTCCGCACGAGTTCAAAATATCTCGTGAGGCAAGACGCCAATGGCCGCCTCGTCTCCCACGCCCGCTGGCGCGATCCGGCGCAGCCCAAGGTCGAGCCACTCTTTCCTAAGATCCAGCCCGACCCGACATTAAAAGCCTGAACGCAACCTCATCCCTGCGATTCCACCACTCGCCCCGGCAATGCAAACAGGAACAAAGAGGCCGAACCAAACCTTGTTTGTGAATTTCCAAAGATGGTGAAGCAGTGTTCATGAGTGTATGCGTGTGAGATGGACGGAAGCGAAGCTCGAGATCGGTCGAATTGGTCGACGAACCGCAGCGGGTGTTTACAGAACAAGGAACGCGCCGGCGAAGAGAGCTGCTGCCGAGGCTGTGGACACGGCAAGCAGGGCAGATGGAAGGCTCGATCGCGCGCCCGACGTGGAACCGCCGCTGCCAGAGCCGCTGGAGCTACCGCTGCTGCTGCCGCCGTTGCTCGAGCCAGCAACCAGCGACGGGGTTGACGAGGTCACGCCACCCGAGGCCGACGGCGTCGGGAGGCTACCACCGCCCACGACGCCGGTTGCAGTCGCGCCCGATGCAAAGGAAGAGGCGCCAGTGGGGAATGGCAAGCCGCCGCCGATCGAGCTCATGGATCCCGTAGCCGACGACGTAGCCTGGGGCGTCTGCGACGAGACGGCATTGGCGGTGACCGAGACGATCTGCGCCTCGCTGCCCTTGAGACTGGCGAATCCGATGCGACCAGTACCGTCGTAGACCTGGAAGACGTTCTTGAGGAACGAGTCACCCACGATCCACTGCGGCACGCCGTACTGCGACGAGCCGAGGTCGATCTCAAAGACGGCGCCGAGACAGGTCTGGGAGTTGGTGAAGGGGTACGAGCCAAGGTTGAAGTCCTGCGGGTTCATGGACCAGCTCTTGCCGCCGAACGTGAGCTGAATGTTAAGGTTGGCACTGCAGGGGAAGAGGTAGTAGCCGGGCATCTTGACAGAGGCGGCAGATCGTGAGCCACTGATCTGCGAGTAGAAGGCAGCAACGGCCGAGGCGGGACCACCGATGAGCGTGGTGCCCGTGTCGATGGCCGCAAGCGTGTTGCTGCCGATGCGGGCCGAGTTGCCATTGACCGTGATGCCGTCGAGCGGGATGGTCCAGTAGCCGAGTCCCTGCGTGTTCTGGAGGTTGTTGGGGATGTTCGTGTAGCTGATATCGCCGCTGTACTGGTTCGAGTCGATCTGTCCGAGCGTGAAGACGCCGCCGGGGCTCTGAATGTCGTTGATGTTGGGGTCGTTGGGGTTGATGTTGTCGATGTTGCGTGCGAGCTGGAAGGTGAAGACGTTTTGCGAGAGCACGCCCTGCTTTTCGAGCACCTGCCAGAAGGGCGTGGCGCCGCTGGTCGAGAGCGATTGGAAGCCCATGCCCATGATGCCCGAGGTCGGGTACTCGACCGTGTTGGAAGCCACGGCGGCAGCCTCGGCGAAGGTGAGGTTGTTGACCGTGTAGCCGGCGAGCGAGACCTTGTCGGCGGCGAGGGTGCCACGCACGGCACCGGTGCCGTAGGTGATCTGGAAGGGAGCGCTGGAGCCGACGTAGGTGGAGGAGCTCTGGGCGTTGAACTTGTTCAGATCCGAGTCGCAATTTTGCGCAGTGCCGCACTGTGAGTCGACGAGCCAGAAATCGGCCGAGCCCGTGTCGAGCACCACGTTGAAGTTCTGAGCGGGTGTTCCGACCGAGAGCTGGGCGAAGTAGTAGCTGTCAGAAGCGCAGAAGGAGCGGTTAGCCTCCGAGATGAAATGAAGAGATGGAGATCGTGCAGCGGACGTACCTGTCAGGCCCCACATCGGTAAGGCCGATGGTCTGGCGCTTCTGGTGGGCGGCGGTGGCGCCGTACTTGGCCTTCATGATCTCGCCCTGTCGGAAGGCCCAGCTCCTCATGACTTCGGGGTCACGCTTGCTCACGTCCGGGTGCAGGGCGCCGTGTCTCTTGTACATGGGCACCGAGATGGATCCAGCCTGCGAGGCATCGTTGAGCGAACGGCTGGCGAGTCGGAAAGCCTTGGCCTCGGCCAGGTCGCCCCGGAGTTCAGTGTTGGCCTGCAGCGGAAGCACATACGCCTGGACGGACGAGGCGCACACCAGCGCCGCCGCGACTGTCGAGAGCAGAGCCTGGAACGCCATTCTGCTGGTATCGAGTCGGGACGAGATGGTTGTGCTGTAGGGAATGCTCTAAGGGGTGGAGGGGAAGACAAGTCTATCGATCTATGACTTGGAGCGACGAGAGTGGCGG